GGATATACAGTTCCATTTATATTTCATGAAGTGTCAAGGGATTTCTATACAGTTGTTATGATCAGTATGACACAGACCAAAATATTTGTATTTGTTTCCCTACATGGATAAATTATCAGTTGTATATTATCAGGAAATTACACCCTATTGCCATTAACTTAATCTTTGATCTTTGTCTCTTTCCAGTTTGCAAAGACTATGATCTGCCAAGCAAATCTTGCTCCATTACCTCTTCATGTCCTGCCTGTATACTGGGGACTAGACCACTGCCTTGCCTTGCATCCCACTCCAGACCTCATCATTACAGCTGATAAGGGAGATGCCTTCACTACAGTACAAAATCAGTGCATTGTTATGAATCCAGTAAGTATGATTTGTTTGTATATTACACATGGAAGGAATTATACAAACTTAGAATAACATTTGAATTGAATCAAGTTCTTTATCTTTATTGAGATTATGTCTTAACATTTGATCCCACTGGTTCATAAGTAACTAGAGTAGCTTATCAACTTCAGATTTACAGATTTCAGTAAAAAGTACTGCCATTACAATCCAGTGTTTACATCATTCTTTATTTTCTTATTCCAGGGTTCATTTTCAAAGACAGACTTCTCCTTCAAGGTATACATGCCAGCTTCCAGACAAGTGGAGGACAGCCAAATTGGAGATGAGGATATGTAGGAAATCCTCCTCTTAATTTTAAGAAATGTTTATATCATTAATTGTAGAAGAAATTGTATATTTAAATAAATACTGGAAATTAAGAAAAAAAATCAAGAATCTTTTTTTCAATGTGTGACTGTAAGTGCAAATATTACTGGGCTGATGTGTTTTGTAACATGAACTTGAATGTAGATGAGCACAAACTCAGAAATGGGTAAGAAAGAGATTAAATTCAGCACAACCAATTGTAAGAGAAACACCAAAACAGATTTTGAGTCAGAGTTTAAGTGGATAAAACATAAAGGAGGGCAGTTCCAAAACTTAGAAGAAATAAAGGGGAATTCAAAATATATCTAACATTCAATAATTTCCCATAGTTGTCCATCATCTCCAGAAGTGACCAAAATAGGAATTACAGAGTAAGGGACAGAAGGCTCAGTTGTAATAAAAGAATAAAAAATAAATGGACAAAATGACTAAATCCCACATTATTAATCATACGTAACTGTAGCTATTCACATTAATCGGTTTCCTCCAAACAGTATTCAAGATAATATTACCAATCCAAGAAATGTTTGAAATTCACAAATACTACAGATAGATAGAACCAAGTGGTGGAAAATGCATGAGTCCTAGAACCTTTCTTGTGCTTTGTATTACTGAACTGTTACCTTTGTGATTTTCATTGAATGACAAAAACTATTGGTGAGCTTTTCAACCATAAACATTAGTTTAAGAGTTCACAGATCTTAAGGGAAAGGGGTTGAGAAAGAGAAGACTTTCTCTTCCTCAACCCCTGTGCTATAGATATGTAACTATACAGAGTTATTGGTTGGATCATACTTGTTTATGTATGACAATTATTATTGATTAATTATTTTATTTTATCATTTTATCTATTCTGTTTCTTTATTTTGTCCAGTGCTAGCTAATTATTTCATATTCGAACTGAAAAAGTGTATCAGATTTTGGTTGTATTTCAACCATTTTATGCATAGTCAAAGCATTTAACTCCTATTGTTTCGAATATATTGCAAGCATGTTTATACTAGATTTGATTGCAAATAAACTATATATATAATGGTTTATAAAAGAATTCTGAAGAAATAAAATGTATAAAATGCATATAGTATCTGATGGTGTATATCTGCATATGCATTTAGCAATGGTGGTATCACTTGAATACCATGACGAAACTACCGTGTGGGTTTTATGGCCCAGCTTCAATTACAAGTGAAACTTGACCATTTACAGAACAAAGAAATGGTGGAAGAATGAAAAAATACAATGCAAACTGGAGTATCTGGTAGTGGATAACGAGTAAATTAACAAATAATTTCTTAGTTGTTTTACTATAGTTACCCGTCAACATATATTAAGGAAAACGGAGTGAATAATAAAGGGGTGACTATAACACTGACAATAAATTCCATCAGTGAACTGAATTTTATTTATAACTTTATTTTCTCAAGACATGTAAGGATGAAATCTTCAGTAAATACAACGGTAATTCGGCCTTGAGAATCCCTACCCAAGGACCATATTATCTCGCTTCAACTCTCCCTGCTCAAAAAAAAAAAAATAAATAATAATAATAATAATAATAAAATTTCTATTTGATGAGAGAACCTTTAGGGTATAAAACCGTTTTATCATTGCTTCTAGAAAGAATAACATAAGAACGAACCAGGTGTCCCTTGCAAGACAGGCTATATAACTATCTTATTGGTTTGCTTTCCCGAAGAATATAACAAGAGCGAATTCTAAAAGGTATAGTGATAGACTATCCCACACCATATCTATTGCACCTCTTGCATATCAATTTCCTCCATCCCCCAACCCACACAACCCATTATCCCAACCCATTTCTCTAGACTCCCCCTAACGTACCACTAAACAAAACTACTCTCACACCCATTTAATAAAGGGAAAAGAGATGAGCCATAAAACCCATAGGGGTAAGTTCCGTATGTATACACATATATGATACCAGTTATATGCATGTGACTATATGTACATTGCTACATACAAGTGAAAAAAATAAAACGGGTATAAACAGAGTATATAATGATGTTATGGCTTAGTAAAAGGGTAAGGCTGCCCCCTAATCATTTAAACGTTGTTATCGTAATCTGAACAATTTATGAGTGACTTGTAACCTCTTGCAAAACAGTTCATATTGCTCTTGCAATGTTAATGACGATCCAGGGTACCCCTATTAAATGAAAATAATTGTCATAGTCTATTTATTCCTCTTTAATAAGGCTAACATAACTTTTTTTTCCTGATAACCGGTTTAAACAAAATTCTTCTTTCTCAAGTATACAGGCCATACTAGAAGAAAACCGTAACATAATACAAATGTGCATGGAGACTGACGGAATTCCATGCATAGACCTACGTCCGTATTAGTCGAGCGAGTGATGATTACTAACTACAAACTGTTCCATATATATTCGACAAATATATCAAATATATCCTGATTATCGCGTTCTAATGTGACACTTTGAGAACATTGTAGTAATGTCATTTATGTGCAAAAATATATATATCAGCATCTGTATCACTAAGTAGTGAGGAACTCCTGGTAAGCTGAATCATTTGGGAAAAAGTCTAATAAACTTCCTTGGACTTTTAGTTGGGAAAGCTGCCTTAGTATTTCTACAAAATCTCTCTTGTGATAGCTCAGAACTCCCTTGCTGATATGTCCATTTCATCATATTTATGACGTTGTGATGAGAAGCTAAAGTAAATATCTATTTGCGCATTATTAAGAATGAAAAAACACCGGTCGAGATAATCCCCCTATTATGCATGTGCATTAATTATCCTTATTTAACTAATATGTTCTGTGGATGATAACCAACATTATTTTTCCATGACGTAATTTGGTATCTTTTAAAACCAATTCGAAAAACATAATAGAATACTACGAACTTATATAACATTTTGTCTTTTTATACTTTTTAATTTCTAAAAGACTGTGGAATTAATCACGTATAATAACATAAAAAAAAATGGAAGAATGCGCCACAAAAAATACGAAATATAAGTAAAGAAATAATCTTTGCCCTCGTATCCCACTCGTGGCAGAATAGTAAACACGTTGATACAAACACGTGCGGCACAAGGGCGATATTTTCCAATTTTTGTATTTAACGCTATAGTTACAAAGAATTTACCACAATGCAACAGAGTGACGATGTGAGTTCATGTTTCTGTTTATTAATATATTATATTATTGGGTTCAGAGATTATCATAGCTGTAGTAGCTGTACGAGAAAGTTCACCTTCACAGATAGGCGACAGATAGTTATTATAATTATGTACATTACTTCCCGTAAAATGTGCATGTACACTGGAGCACCAGATAGGATTGTTTTGGTGTGATTGTGCATTTGTAACTTTTATGCGCATCGTGTAGAGTGGGAAAAATAAGAGTGTTACATGTATGTTTTGTTCTGAAGGGTTAATATTTGGGTATACAGAATTTTAGTTTTACACAGCCATATGGGGCATGGTAAAGTTTGCCTGAAATGGACTAACCAACAGAATTAAGACACTTTCATCTATGATAACAAGAAAATTGAATGATATGGAAGTTGTAGAACATGTAATAGTTGAGTATACACCAGACTGTAGAGTTTGGTCTGTGGGGGAATGCGTTCCCCCCCGCAGATCAAATACATTCTGTATGGTGTTTTGATGTTCAGGAAAAAAAGTCTAATGTAGTCATTGTAAACTGTATGGCTTCAGCAGTTCTGGATAATTATGTAGTAGGTATAGATATCTGAAAGACAAATCATCATTCATTTTTGCAGTGTCAGTAGTACTCTGTAGTATGGTTTATATGTAGCTCCTAGTGTCCACATCATAATGTCATATCATATATTGTTAAGAACTGGTCATCCTTCAATCCCTATTAATCAGTGAATGACACAAAAAGTTGAAAATACAAATTTTGCCTCAGATATGCAGGATACACATAATGGGAAATCAATATGGCTATGACTGAAACCTCAGCAGCAATATATAGTTTATGTTGCCATTTAAGGATTAATTATCGTCTCCACATGTGCTGTACACTTCATATGCTTATAACCTTCATTCACATCTCATCCCTATTTTTTCCACCAATATTTACATAGTATACTTTCTCAATATATATTCACTTCTCACAATCATACATTCAGATACATACACCATCTCATTAGATTTATGAAAGGAATAACAAAGTCAAATTCTACAAGAAGCTTTATGTGTATTGTTTTATTTGTGTATATAACTCTGATAGTTCTTGATGATATTCTTTTTTCTTCAGGTGGTGTGGACCATCATCAACAAGTCGTTTTGTTCCTTTAAGATTTCGTAAGTAACCCTTTTTAACTGTCTTATTTGATTAATAAGACATTTTATATCTGCAATAAGAAAAGTCTATCTACTGTATTTCCACATTAGTAATTAATATTATTTATTGTATATTATATACCCACAGAACTATATCACAAAAATTTTGCCGAAATGAATTCAACTTGACTGGGCTGTGCAGTAGAAGTTCATGTCACTGCCAACAGCCAGTATGCTACAGTAAGAGAAGAAAAAGGTATCATATATCTATATATGAGAAACAGCAGAAAGGTAATATTTCCTCTAGGATCTTCATTGTAATGTATTATCAAATACAGGGTCTCTTAAGCTCTTAGGTGATATTTCATTTATACATTGCTCATAACCTACAATTTTCATATAATAATACTTGCTGTTTTATGTTGCTACGAGCAGTTGTATTTTCTTCTTTAGATGAGGCTAACATATATCAGTCTTTTAATTCATGAAGTAAAGTTAAAATGACTATTGACTACTTTTTTAGATAAGGATCCATTCTACTTCTAGTATTTACTTGTTAGATATCTGACTTTTATAATGCTCTCTGCATTACCTCTGTATTATGTATTCTGTGTTATACCTTCTGCCACTAAATGATAATGACTATTCATATTTTGAGTTTCCAATATCACAGTCACTTCAAAGAGGTATTGTTTGTATATGTTTTACCAACTCGTGGAGCAGTTATTAGATACTTTAAACTTCACTCAAGGGTAATAGTGTCTGTTGAAGATTGATTTGTCAGTACTATATAACAGACATAAAAGTTAGAATTATTATCAATGTATGACAATAGATACCTTGATAAACTACAATTATTGGGCTAACAGTAATAATAACTTTACATGATGGAAGAAAGAAAGAAGAATCTGTATTGCAGAAAAGTTTTTTAAAATTATCTCTCTATGTGGTTGATGATATATATGGTGTGGATTTCTTACCCTGTATGCATTTTTACAGATGCCCATTCCAGCAAAACAATGGGAAAGTCAAACTTTCTCGGAATTTTGTCAAAGCTCTGCAACAAATCGACGAAAATCTGGTGTTCTGGAAGAAGTATTTCCGCCAAAAATGCAGACAGAGGCTTCTGAAAATCACACAGTATTTGACTCGTATGAGAAAGCTGAAATTGGAAGGAAGTAAGTAAAGGTGTTTGTTTGTGTATACATACGATTTCTGTCTTTATACATTATGGGATATTGCATAGAATTTATTTTAGCCAATGAATAATGAAGGCTGGTTTATGTACAAGTTAATTTAAAGAAAAAGATGTAATCTATTATGAAATGTAAATTTATCTCCTAATTAACAACAAAGTTTAAAGCTTCCTGTGGCAATACAGTTGCTTGATCTTTTATTATTTTGATTTTGATGTTTATGGTAAGAACATTTTGGACACTTTTTAAAGGATGACTTCTATTTTGTTTTGTCCAGCATGTCACATACTAGAGAACAACTAACTACCCTATTTCATCCTTTAAAGCTTAGAAGTTGCAGGAGTAGAAAGAAGTGAATAAGAACATTAACAAAAAATAGAAAAAAGAGAAAAGGTGAATTTAGGAATCAGATACAAATACTATATGGAATTGTTGACAGAAACTTATGGGATAGCAAGAGTAATCTTGAGGGAATGACATACTGTAGAGGTGTCCTTAATAACTGAATTTTAAATCTGAATTAGAGTATATAATGACAGATTCCATTTTGATTCTGATATAAATTGTTTATGGATAGAGATTTTGATTCTTTTATTCAGTGTGATTTGATGTTCCTAGATCAGTGTCAATATCACCATTATACATTAACAGCATTATTATTATTAATATTAATATAAATATAATGAGATTATGATCATTATCACTGTCATTATCTTTGGCATTATCATTATTATTATCATACTCAGTATCATTATGATTAACCTCATGTCTCTGGGTTGACTTAAATGCCAAAAGACCTAACATCAGGATGTGAGTAAGGATGGTGGCATGTATCATGTATAGGAAACACGTTTTCATGCCATATATACAATGATAAAGTTTTGGTTTCTGGCTTTGATACAGACATGTTTGATGATATAAGGCCTTCATACTATTTGTGGACTAAATTCACACAAAAGCTTCCAGCCACCTTAATGCTTAGTCCACATGGTCAGAACTGTGTCTGTTACGGCATAACTTGCCTATAGGGAGACAGCCTTTCTCATCAAAGCATATGATATTTATGGTTCTTGAAGCAGTAAGATAATATTCATTTCTTCATTAATTCACACAGGAATATCATATACTGTTCACAGATAACTAAAATAACTCCTTTCAGGAAAAAGTTGATTCCATTAAGACGGAACAGGAAGTACGATTGAAGAGACGTGAAGAGAAAGCTCTTGTTGCAGCGAGAATTGACAATGCTATTGAGAAACAGCTTTTGCAGAGACTCAAGGAGGGAACGTAAGGAAGATCATGTTTGTTTTTTGTCATGTTTGTATAATTGGGGGGGGGGGAGGGATTGTAATAGAGGGTATGTGATTGATTGGTTGAGGGTATATGTGTGCATGTATTCATATGCCTGTACCATATAAAAGAACATTTGATGCAATTAATTGGTTCTGCTTTGCAGTATGAACGTATATACAACTTCCCACAAGAAGCCTTTGACGTGAGGGTTGACGGCGAAGAAGTAGAGAGCGATATTGATGAAGTGGAGTATGATGAAGATAGAGAAGAAGAGGTGGAGACAGATGAAGATGTGGAAGGACAGTTGGAAAAAGAAGTCGTAAATGATGATGATGATGATGACGATGAAGATGACGATGATGATGATGAGGTAAGTTTGTTCATTTATAGTTGAATTATGATTGTTAGGACAAGCAAAAAACAAAATTGCAGTTCCAGTAACTTTGTAAGATAGGTGTGGGATGTTCGTTGCAGACTAACCTTTTTGTAGACTGTTTTTTGGTAATAATTGTTGGTGCTAGTATTTATTTTTATATTTTGGATCTTTTATGTGTAGTGATCTTTTAATCCAGTCATGACTAGGAAATTTTTCAGTAAAGCAGTTGGGGATTAGCATTCTCACTCCACTCATGGAATTTCCCTGTGCCTTACAGAATCATGCGTGGTGCTTTGTGCAGTTAGTTGTTTGGGTGAAAGATTAGAAGCATGGAATCTTATATTTATCCCACTCTCTGCACTCATGATTGGGGTATACACAATATTTTAGGAAAGGAGGCAGAAAAGAGACTAATCCTACCTTTGTATTGCCTTAGGGACCACAGTCAGGGTCAAACAAATAAACAAAGTTTTAGGGTGCACTACTTAAAGCAGGCTCCTCCATGCATTCATCCTGGCTGATGTGATTAGATGTTATCCAGTATGAGTATGTTATATTTGTACACCATCATGCCCAGACAAATGTTTCTGAGAGAGTCTGCGTAAAGTTCTTTTTGAAGATCTGTTTGAGCTGAAGCTATCCTGTATTTGTTGTTTTAAGTCTAAGAGGAATGTTGTGGAGTGGCTGAAAGAATGGGGAGAGTGGTGATTAGTAGGAAAATGGTTTCAATACCCTTTGGGGGAGATCCTAGGAGAGTAGGAGGCAGCTTCTATGGGTGATTTGTTGGATTTGATAAGTGAAATGTTTCTGATAACTTTCTAGAACGTGGTATTTTGTAATTGTCTTGTAAGAACTTGGTAGTGTTTACAATTGTTGCGTATCCTGTGGGGTAAGGTATTTGAAGTGTTATAACCAATGACATTTAAGTAATTTTATAAGTTTGTTGTGGCAAGGATGATTTGGTTTAGATTGTGTTTGTACTGTACTTACAGTTCTATTTTCTTTTGTTGTTTGCTGTGTAGCTGATATTGTAGTGTCTGATGAACTTTTTACTAGGAATGTATTTAGAAATAGTGGTGTAGGATGTGTGTGTATTGTTCTTAGTCATTAAGGGCACATGATGTGCTGAGTTGTGTGGTTATATCTTTTACCTCTATTTTATATTTGGCATAGAAGTCTCCTCTCTGGGTTGATAACTGGGAGGTGTATGAAGAGGAGTTGGCTGGCAATTTTTGTACTTTTTTATAATTGTTTAGAATCTTGATGTGTTCATGTGTTGTTTTATGGTCTTGATAGTGTGTAGTTTTGAGATTGTTTCCAGTAGGTAGATGTGATATGATGTAATAAGTGTGATGGATACATTCTGAAACATCACACATGATACTATGGTGTTATTAGACTGCCACATTCACAATGTTTCCCCTGTCATTCAGCACTGTTGCACATTGGAAGTTAGTGCAACTTTCATGTTTGTAAAATAAATAAATTAGTATTCATTGTGACAAATGTAGGATTTTTAAAAATTTTAATGAATATCTCATAATCATTATTATGATTATTATTATAATTATTCTCATTCATACCCTTTCTAGAACTATTTTAGTGGTATGTTTACTGTAAGTGGCAGTGATGTTGCATTGTAGATGTTGCAGGATTTGGTGTCAATTATGTGTTTGTATTGTTGCTAGTTAGTAGTGTTGGCAGTGGAAATAATGATATTGGTAGTGATTTTTTAAGGATGTTATTAATTGCAATGTTTAGGTTTGGTGCACTTGTTCAATTGGAGTTTGTGATTTTTGTGCTTTATAGAAACTTCCAACATTAGTTCCAGTCAGGTAGCCTTTACAAATATATGCACCTAAGGTGATGCCACAGTCCCCAGAATCTGCAGAACATAAATACCACCAGTGGAAATAAGTGACTTTTAAATTGTTATTATATGCTAAATGCAAGCTAGTGTTGTCATGAGCATATATAGCTAATGGTAATAAGAGGAACTTAGTGGTTAAATCATGGAGTCCCTTAATAAAAAATAAATAAAAAATCTAGTACAACAGAAATATCCTGCCTCCCCTTGGACATGTTTTTTTTTGGATACTCCAGTGTGTCTCTTTTGACCATCACATAGAGTCCCTGGTAGGGTTGGTTTGGGATGTTTGGCCTGTGGTGATGGAGGAACCAGTTGATGTGTAGATGCATCTGACTTGTGGTGATGGTTGTATGATATTTGGTTAAAGGGATTCCATTTTGTAATTATCTTGATAGTATAGAATAGATGTTAATCAACAATTTTTTTTTTTTTTTAGATATTCTCTCAAAACTTTGATTAAAGTTGGATATAGCAATGACCAAATTGAATCCATTATTGTTAAAATGAACACAAATACTATGTTCTAGAATGCTTAGTCATAAATTAACATAAAGAATCAACTCCATATTACTTTAACTTTAACATTCCTTTAAATTTTCAGTTGAGTAGTGATGAAGACGACTCTGGTGACGAAGAAGAGGATGATGAAGAAACACGGGAATTTGTTGCTGACTTCGATGAGAGTGATGAAGAAGACTTTGAGGTACTTGTGAATTAATTTTTTCTGTAATATCGTAGAAAGTATGTGTGTATCGTGTAGCAGTTTTTTTTTTTTTTTTATCATTGTCATTATCCAATAGCATAACCGATTGGTACTGAGTACATGCACTGTTCACTGTGATGCTGTTTTTGTTTAATCTTTTCTTGCACTTTGATTGTTTCACACATTCTTATTCACCAAGGAATCAATTATTAGGCCTATCTAATCTTGCCTTGTTTATCCTCTTTCTTGAGTTTTTTATTGACATGATTGATTATAATGATTTATGACTGTTGATATAATTATTAATCTGCAGTACAGGGTCATTGACAATTATTGATACGATGTGAGAACAGAACTTTCCTCTGAGAATTCACAGGAAGGGAGAAAATATATGAGGTTTGATAGGGACTGTTATTGATTTGTTATTAAATTTATTTATCTATTATATAGTAATGATTTGTTGTATGTATGTATTTATAACTATTTTTAAGTATGATTTTTTTTTTAGGGGGGGGAGTGACAAGTCACTTGACTTTCATTACTTTTTTTGTTTTCCCTTCATCTTTTATCTTTCTTTTTACCCCCCCCCCCCCCACACACACCNAAAGAAAGAAGAAAACGAGCGGATGAAGAGAGAGAGAGAGAGAGAGAGAGAGAGAGAGAGAAGAGAAGAGAGAGAGAGAGAGAGAGAGAGAGAGAGAGAGAGAGAGAGAGAGAGAGAGAAGAGAGAGAGAGAGAAGAGTGCGAGGAGGGAGTGCGATGCAAGAAGGTATGAGGACATGAGGGGAAACGGTGAGTCGAGGATGTAGCTGAGCCGCGGACCTTGCAATAAATGAGGAAAGGAAGAAAAAAAAAGCTGAATGAATTAGTGAATAATCGGATGTGTGTGATTAATTCATGACTTAATTAGAGTGAATAAGGGATGAGTATTGAAATGAGAGGAGGAGGAGGAGGGAGGGGAGGAGGAGGAGGAGGAGGAGGAGGAGGGAGGAGGAGAGGAGGAGGAGGAGGAGGAGGGGAAGGAGAAGGAGGAGGAGGGGAATGATGAGGAGGAGGGGGAAGGAGGAGGAGGAAGGGAGAAGGGAGGAGGGAGGAGGAGGAGGAGGAGGAGGAGGAGGAGGGAGGAAGGGAGGAGGAGGAGGAGGAAGAGAAGTGGAGGAGATGGCAGAGTAAGGGACGAGGAAGGAAGAGGGGGATGCGAGAGGAGAGAAGGAAGAGCGGGGATGAGGAAAGAGCAAGGAGCAGAGGGAGAGAGCAGAAGGAGGAGAAGGAGGAGGAAGGAGGGGAAGGACGAGGTGAGAATATACTTCTGACCTTCACTTTAGAAGATCGAATCCCATGCCACAACTCCGAGATAATTTCAATGTCTTAAAAGCCGTCTTAACCTTTTGAACGGCACGGAGACATCATGGGAAATATGTCTTCGTTTGTTTCTTTCTTTGAGAGAGAGAGAGAGAGAGAGAGAGAAGAGAGAGAGAGAGAGAGATAGAGAGAGAAGGAGAGAGAGAGAGAGAGAGTGTGTGTGTGTGTGTGTGTGTGTGTGTGTGTGTGTGTGTGTGTGTGTGTGTGTGTGTGTGTGTGTGTGTGTGTGTGTGTGTGTTGTGTGTGTGTACATTTACATACATAGACATACATATCTGTCTCTCTCGCTCTCCCTCTCACTCAGATACGCACATGCATGAATGCGCGTACCCGCGAGTAAGCCGAAGGCGCGCGGCGGCCCTCCCCGCCTGCCCCGCCTGCCCCGCCGCCCGCAGCGTGTTTGCGGCGGGCACGTGTCGGCCGCACGCTAGCGCAGGTGTCACGCCAAGAGGCGGAGGCAGGAGGTCAGAGTTCACGCCTCCGGATGCCAGCGGGTCGCGAGTTCGGAGCGGCCACAGCGGGACTTGCACCGCCTCATTTGCATAAGTCCGTTACCGCCGCCGCTGCCTACCGTCATGCGCACCTGTGCTGCTTACCTGTAACGACCCCCCCCCCCCGCCTGTATTCCCTAGGCCTCCCATCTGGCTCTTCCCAGGGGGCAGAGTAGGAAGAGGGGGGGGGAGGAAG